TTGATCATAGGAGAGCATACAACTGTGAAATCATGCTTTCAAAGGTGAAGATACCTTTGCATGAACTAATGGTAAGCTGACCAAAGTTGTTAAAATATTTTTATGTTAATTTATATATTTCAAAATTAAAAAAAAAAATTATTTATGAAAAAACATGGCAGGATTATGTACTTGCTCTAGATGAGTCAGCATTGGATGTTGATCAGGTGGATAACCTCATAAAGTTTTGTCCTACAAAAGAAGAGATGGAAGTGCTAAAGGTAATACAAAGGAGAAAATTTTGAGAATTTAATTCTTTGATTTTTTAAATCTTGATTCTTTTAAACAAAATTTTGAGAATTTAATTCTTGCCACAACAACTTTAGTATAGTATCTATCCACAGTTTATATTGATAGTATGATTAACATGTTTAAAATCTCAGAACTACAAAGGAGAAAAGGATAAATTGGGAAAATGTGAACAGTTCTTTTTGGAGCTAATGAAAGTTCCACGAACAGAATCTAAGCTCAGAGTTTTCTCCTTCAAGTTACAGTTTGGATCACAGGTAATATTTTCTTTCTATTTTTTTAGATCCTGGATTTTGATGTAATTAATACTAATACTCTAGTTGTTTTTTTTTTTTTTAGGCTAAAGATCTTAGAAAGAGCTTAAACTCAGTAAATACAGCTGTGGAACAGGCAAGTCATTTTCCTATTTTCATTAATCTACAAAGGAAAATCTACTGAAAAGTCCTTATCCTAAATTTTGAAAAAAAAAAAAAAAGATGTAAAAAGACTAAATTCAGGATGAATTTGTAACAAAATTTTGAAATCTAGGCCAAAAGTGTAAATTTTGGACCAAGTTTGTAACAAAATTTAAAATCTGGACCAAAAGTGTAGTTTTTAAAAGTTGGATGACTTGTTGGCCGGGTTAAACGGTCCAAATGAATATAGTTTTCGGTTTTGGGGACTTTGACTAAAAAAAAAGATAAGGAGTAAATCGATTATGAGTCCTAAACATAAGGATTTTTCAGTAGATTTCTCATTTACAAATACACAACAATTTAATCTAATTAAACTTTTATCAGGTTAGAAGTTCGTGTAAGTTCAAGAGAGTAATGCAAACAATTCTACAACTTGGAAATGCCCTGAACCAAGGAACAGCAAGAGGTCAATATTTTCATTTTTTATTTTATGTTATTAAATATAATAATATTTTGTAGTAGTTGACTTTGACTTTGACTTTGACTTTGGTGTCCATTTTAGGCGCTGCTGTTGGGTTCAGATTGGATAGCCTTCTAAAGCTTACGGATACTCGTGCAAGGAATAAAAGAATGACACTCATGCATTATCTTTGTAAGGTATTAAAAACTTTTTTTTTTTATTTTTTTTTTTTTTATAAAAATAATAAAATTTTAATATAGGAAGCATATGATAATAAAATTATAATTAACTGTAGGTGCTTGTTGACAAACTACCTGAACTCCTTGATTTCTCCAAGGATCTTGACAGTTTGGAACCTGCATCAAAGGTGGTGATCACAATTAAATCTTATTCAAATATTTAGAAATTTAAAACATGTGTAAATGTAATTAAGAATTTATTATTTTTCAGGTACAATTAAAATATCTTGCAGAGGAAATGCAAGCTATTAGCAAAGGACTTGAGAAAGTTGTCCAGGAATTGTCAATGGCTGAAAATGATGGACCTGTCTCTGAAAAATTTCTCAAAGTAAGTCTATTTATTTTAACAATTCTTTTTTTTTTTCTTAAAAAAAAAATTAATAATAAATCTAACTTCCATACATTGTTTTCATTGTCTAGGCATTGAAGGAGTTTCTTTGTACAGCAGAAGGTGAAGCAAGATCCTTGGCCTCTCTCTACTCTTTAGTGGTAAGTCTCAAATTTCTCTCGTTTTTGTAAAAGACATAAATGCCCTCCACATCCTTATAATTATAAATACTATGTTATGTTTTGTAGGGTAAAAATGTGGATGCATTAATTCTTTACTTTGGAGAGGATCCAGCTCGGTGTCCATATGAACATGGTAATTGTAATTAACCACTAATTTACTTTTAAAATCTTACTTTTTATATATATTAATTTCACTACATATACATATATATATATATATAACGATTTTCTCTTTCAGTTGTTTCGACTTTGAAGAACTTTGTGAGAACATTCAATCAAGCCCACGATGAAAACTGCAAGCAAATAGAGGCAGAAAAGAAGAAGGCCGAAAAGGAAGCCTTAGAAGAAAAATCCAAACCAAATGATTCCAAAACCTCAGATGAAATTACACCAAAACCAAATGATGAAAAATCCAAACCAAGTGATCCGAAAATCTCAGATGAAATAACACCAAAACCAAGTGATGAAAATTCAAAAGCAATCGATTCACAAATTGACCAATCAGAACAAACAAAAAACCCTCCTATTAAAACCGAATAATATTCATCTCCATTTTTCCCACTTTACTTCAATTTTTTATACATCCATGTAAAGTTGTATCATAGTTTGAGTATCACTCTTTCCGGGCCCACTAACTTTACATCCATGGTTAGCTTCTTAACCGTTGATTTTTTCAAAATTCGAATGTTTTGTTACACAAGTCAAAATTCATATACTTACGAATTTGCATTAAAGTTTCATGCAGAAAAGATGAATGGACAGAGGTTTTGTTTTTTTTTTTTTCACTTGGGTGGCAGTTTTGTAAATATTTAAGAACGTGGACATCGAGCGTAGAAGCTATATACACTGTAACGATGGGCGTGTTTCACTCATAGATAGATGCATTTTTAATTAATAAAGAGAAGAGACATTTTGTTTTGTTCATCCTCTAGTGTATACCAATTTTAGTCATTTTTTTTTATTTTTTTTTTCAATTTGGACCCAGTTTTATTGGGTGAATGAGGTGAAAACATTGCGGCATGAATCTTAGACATGTAAAACACATCGAGATTTTGTGTTAGGATGATGTTTTATTCATATTGAAAGTTGAGTAATATGTTATAATATCCGAATTTGGTATGCAAACAAACCTTATAAAAGCAATGTCTTAAAAAAGCTTTGTAGGGAAGATTTGCTTTGTACTTCAAAGAAGAAGATGACAGGTCGTAAAGTAAAGTCTTTTGGATCGGTGGTTGATCTTCCTATAGTTCCTAAGTCCAAAGTTAGCTAATAACGAAGGGGCATTACATAATGATTTTTCTCATAATCGAAGACTAGTTAGAAAGTTGTCGTATCTCAATATTACAAGAACTATCATTACATATTTTGTTTATAGACATGGTCTAACTTTAAGGCTAATCCTTGTGTTCCTACTCTACGTGCTGTTTATGTTCAATTGTTGCAGCTTAAAGTGGTTAGTGATTCGAACTTACGGTCAGCATTCGACGATTTGGATTGGCCATGTTATCCGAATACATGAAAATCAATTACTAGCCTTTGGATTTTTCATGGTGATTTATTAATTTCGATGAATTCCAAGAATATGAATGATATTAAACGTACTAATTAATGGAATTCCAAGAATATGAATTAAATTACATGATGTCGAGCGTGGGATAAGAATAATGGGTTGGTACCGCGATAGGGGTGTTTGGTAGGTTCTGAAAGATCTAGCATGTCTAAAAGACATTATAAAATGATATTATTAATGACATATGATCTTATAGGATCACACCTTATAGTAAATTACGAGTAATTGATTATTTATTTTTATAATTTAATTATTAATAAATATAATAAACACTTGTATTTACTTGGAAAAATATTATTTTCTGAAAATAATATTTACCTACATATTGAGAATTATTGTTCTTAGGTAATAATAATAAAAAGCCAAAAAAAAAGCTATATACATAAGGAATGTATTTAAATGTTATGTATAACTTTTTAAGCATTTAGAGTAACCTTTTAGTTAGTATATAACTAGTTAGTTACTAGAAAGAGCAAAACACAAAACATCATTATTTTCTCTTCTCTTAGTCATGGCTTTTAAGAGGTAAAGAAGGTGGTGTGTTACGATTATTTTGTTCCATACACTTTGGTCCATGTATCTAACAATATAAAAGTATGGGGCTTTGGAACTCTTATGTTGGTATACAAATGATACTATATAACCAAAAACTAGTGAGATTTTACCAATACTTTTCTCTTCTTTTTTGAGAAATTTTCATGGTTTTTATAGCCTCTCCCCTATCCTTTTTTGTCTTGCAATTTGGTGCTAGATTAAAGGCTCTTAGGTTCTTCTCCTTTAAATGTATATTTGGTATATACTTCCAAGGCTAACGTCCCAAATACCCATAACCAAAATTATTGTTTTTATACTAAATAAACATCAACCAGATAATGAAACCCATACGAAAGTGATAGTGTACGAATAATCATCCAAAAATACATCAGAGTCAATAAAGCGGAAAAATCATGATGTGTGTGCGATGCGATCATCCTGAGCTCTTTCCTTCGAACCGGAAATACCTGAAACATAAATTGAAAACTATAAGCACAAAACTTAGTGAGTTCCCCAAAATACCTCATACCATACATATCATGCATACATACATACACTACTAGAAAAATAGCACGCAAACCACGTCATTCATTGATTTATGTTACCCAAAAGAGAGTGACATTAAAAAGTGTCATCTCTGCAAAAAATTTAAGGATTTAGGTCACGCATTATTGCGTGCCCTTAAATTAGCGTCTAATCAAAAAAAAAAAAAAAAAAAAAAAAAAAACACGGAAGACATCTATAATAAAATGCATGTCGTCTATGGATGTCGCTTTATAAATTTTAATGGAACGCACGTTCCATCCCTTAATAACCAGGGGAAAATGAAATCCTAAAAAATTAAAAACCTCTCCTTCATTTTTTCTCCTTTCCCTCTCGCCCTAATTATCGATGCTCAAATGAAAAGGAAAAACTAGACGCAAAGTTGAAATTGGTCTGAGAATACAGTCTACGATGCAAAGTTGAAAAAGGAAGGACTCAGCAAAATCCGTAATGCTACGAGAATGCTTCTTACTCTTGAGGAAAAAGATCCACGAAGAATCTTCGAAGGCGAAGCTTTCATGAGGAGGATGAACAGGTATGGTTTGCTGGATGAACGTTCTTGCCCTTATTGTTGAAAACTTCATTGAACTTCGTCTTCCAACCCTCATCTTCATTGAATAGACTATTTATCTTATCAAAAAATGATAGGGGCCATGAGAGTAGGTAACCTGTTTGAATAAATGCATATGAGATGTTACTTTTAAAATTTTTGATTGTGAGAGAAAAAAGAAGAAACCTATAGAGCATGTAACCTAGTTTCATATGTAATTTCATTAAGTTATTTAGCATACCCAACTAATTGAGGGTTAAATGTTTGTTTTCATTACTGTTAATCTATTTTTGTTTATGTAAAACATTATCTTTCATTAAGTTAGTTAGTTTCATATATAGTTCCATTAAGTTAATCTCATTACTGTTAATCTCACTAAGTTATTTATCATACCCAACTAATTGAGGGTTAAGTGGGTTGGTCTCCAAATGGCGGCCTAAGGATCGGTTAATCTATTGTTTCCTGCATTTACCCTTTCATCATTTTCGATTTCCTTTTGCATTTCATATGCTTATGAGATAATCTGCTATCAGACAAGATGTATGCATGTTTATTGTTAGCTTTGAAATGATGTTTTTTAATAACTGCAGATTAAAACAAGATGTGTAACTCTTTTTCTATGTTTAAATATCAGCGTGGACCCACCCGATGTAATAAATATTTCACCTTGTGCCAGAATGAAGTGCTGGATAGGTATAGTTATGAGTTTAAGACATTCACATTCTTCTTCTTGCTATTAACACATTTGTTTCTTCTTCAAGGCTATCAGTTTTGTTTTAGTTATATAGTGCTTCAGATGTTTATATTCAAATGTATTTTGATTTTAGATCCATTTTCTATGGCCCCACAAAAAGCTCTTGAAACAATCGGAAAAACATTGAGTTTCCAGTATGAAAGGTGGAAACCCAAGGCCAAATACAAGATTCAGTTAGCTCCTACAGTGGAAGAAGTGAAGAAACTCTATACTACATGTCGTAAATATGCCAAATCTGAAAGGGTTCTTTTCCATTATAATGGTCATGGTGTACCTAAACCAACGGCCAATGGTGAAATTTGGTTTTTTAACAGGGTAATGGTATTGTTTTTATTTTGCACTATCTTTCTATCTTCATGCCTTGTATTCAATAGTTTCCCTAAACTAATTTCCTCTATTATTCTCAAATGTTGTGGAGTTATACATAGTATATTCCATTGCCTATCAGCGACCTTGACTCATGGCTCAAGACTCCCTCCATATATGTTTTTGATTGTTCTGTTGCAGGGGTGATTGCCAATGCCTTCATAGAGGTATTATTAACTATTTATTTCTTGACATCATTTTTATTATTGTTTGACTAAATGCTTGAATATCATTTATATGTATATAGCTCTAAGATTGGACTCCCTCAAGTTCTTCTTCAGGAACTTCACCAAGAGACTGTATTCTACTTGCAACATGTGAAGCACATGAAACCCTACCACAAAGTCATGAGTTTCTTGCTGATGTCTTTACTTCTTGCCTTACAACTTCTATCAAGATTGCCTTAAAACGGTTTTGCACTCGATCATTACTACATGAATCACTTGATTATTCACTTATAGACAGAATACCTGGGAGACAAACTGATCGTAAGACACTTCTTGGTGAGCTAAACACATCAACACCATATGTGGTAATAAACACATGAACTTGCTTATGATGTTATAATTCTTGAATCTTGATTATTTTGGTTATCGTTTGACCACGTGTCATTACAGGGATGCATGGGATATGGCTGTTGAAATCTGCCTTTCACTTGATTGTTCCCATGTATTTTATTTTGGTTATGGTTTGACCACGTGTCATTATAGGGACGTACATCACTTAGAATTTTTCATCTTATTCATTTCTACATTTTGACAAATCTATAATTATGAGCATACTTCCATGTCTTGCTTGCTTTTCAGTTTTTTCGTGAGTTGTGCACAGTTTGATGTTGTAAAAGCATCTGGATTGGTTCCTCCTGTGATTCCATCATACAATAATAATATTAATAGGGATTGGGATTTGATAGAAGGTAAAGTGATGACATGACAACAACAAATCCTAGGAAAGAAGGGTATCTTGGTCCGCTTGAGTATACTTCATATGTTGATTGCTACAAGCAAAAGTAAGCATTCAAGTCTTGTACTGTTTCGTTTCTAAACAGTTGTGATCCAAAAAAATAGAGAGAGGAAAAAAGGAATAACAATATATTAAATTTGTAATCCATTAAGTCACAAAAGAGACAACCCCTTCCCTTCCCTTACTTATTGTTCAATTTTCTTTATGTTGTACATTCCAGTAACTGATTTTTCCTATTGCAGGGTATGTTTGATGATTTAAGCTCATCAGAATGTGTTCTTGATTTGATATTTTTCATCATTGTTTTTCTTGGCAACTTTAAGCAGGTTAACTCTGCCCTCTTCACATTTATTTTCTCACAACATTTTGGCATTGAAATTTAAATTTGGTGATCCGGAAACTTAATGCTCCAAGCAATAATGAGGTTCTTTATCACTCAGTATTATTGGCTAGCACTTTGTATCTCTTTCAAGCATGTATATCTTCATAGTGGCATGACATTACCCATGTTTTACTTGTATACCCTAAGGTAACATTTTTTGATGAGTCAATGATTTATGATTCAGTAATTATATTTTTGATTTTTAATTATCTATTGAAATTATTTGTCAGGTTGATGTATTTACAGGTGTATCTTTCCCCTCTATCAG